ACCATGAACTTTACGGGTGATTAGATTAGGTATAATGTAATTTTATTTGTAACAGTAATTTCCTAATGGATATGTTACAAAATTTTAAGAAATGTTCAGATATTTTGAAACATATGATTCATTAAGGCTATTATGTAATATTGACTTAATCATCGCATGACGTATTGAAATTATATAGATTTTTAAGTTAGTTTTGTTTATCCTTTAAGAACAAAAATTTTCTAAATAAGAGAAAATGAGTTCAAAAAAATCGAGATAATTAAATCTGGATTACCATATACTAAAACTAATTCTAAGAATGACCTTTCCTCAGCACCCAAAACAAAAATTAATAACCTATTTAGCTTATCTAATCGAAAATACGGAGATCCACAACAAGCCATGAGTAATCTTTTTGAGCCATAAAAAGCTTTCGAAGTCATTCAACTGCCGGTGGTGATATTTTTTCACAGCTGTTCGATGTGTAGGGTCTTTCAAAAAGGTTCTGGCCAGGTCTGAAGTTGAATTAGGCGCCAGACATATGTTTTTTTGCGGCTTTGATAACGAACGCCTCATCAACAAACGACCGATATTTGTTTGCATTTGTTGTTTATTGTTTTTTTTACCTATATGCAATAAATAGATAAATAGACAGATGTGTGCATAGGAAGTTGGTAATGCGATAGTTCTGTTGCCCTGGCATTGAACATTCATTGATCCCTGATAGCTAACGCTTTTAATTGGGTTTCCATGTGGGTGATAAGTGGGGCAATATTTTCGATTTGGTCAGCCTGACTTGTGGAAAACTACAGGGAAATAAATAACTCTTTTATGTGTCCATCCACCCCGCTGAACTTTCTTCAATTTGCATAAATTGGTACAGACCCCAATAGACGCCAAGTAGTATTTCAATTAACTCTAACTACTGGGCTACGCATAACAACAGCTGTAAAAGTATCTATATTTTCCACTCTATTCAGCTGGTTGAGTGAGCTAATTGCATGTGAGGGGACAACTAAACAAAATCGAGCCTATAAAAGTTCCACAACCTGAACGAAAAGAAAAGAATATACATATATATGCGCATGAACGGCAACCGAAATTGTAGCCAAAATAAAAACGCAGAGAGAAAGAGAAAAATAAAATAAAAATGGGGGAAATTTTCCTTGATATTTTTGTCAGTTGGTTGTTGTTAATAACCTTTGATTGACCTTGAAAATATGTGTGTCGCTGTGACGGCAGTTTCCCCAAATTAGTTAAATTGAAAATATTTATCACCCAAAATTGTATATAGATTGAACTTCTAGCGGTCGAGTCAATGGAAAATTAATAGATACATTTGGGGGGCTTATGGACAGAAATTGAAAGTGATTTAAGCTGACATTCAGCAAGGACAAAAATGTTTAGCTGTCGATGCTGCGAAATTTGCAAATGAAAAGCTCACGCTTCGGGCACGTGCTAAAGTAGATATATATATATATATATGTATTTTGTATCTGACGGATACGACTGCAAAGGGGCAATTGTGCACACTTGCTTTACCCAAGCTGCATTTTCTGGGGTAATCGTCGAGAAAATTAGTGAGCCAAGGCCCTAGAGGATTTTATTTTTCATAAAGTCATAAATATGTTTGCATAGATATAGAAGTAGCTCAGCGACAGCTGCTATATGAATAGCTATTTTTAAGCTTTTGTTGCTTAGTCAGCTGAGAGGGGGAAATCTTAAATAGGAGCAGAAAACAAGGGTGGTGGTTGAAAAATTCGCCGGCTTTTTTTGTGTTGCACCTTTGCAATTTGTTGCAGTGAAAGTGTCACACCTTTTTCTTGGCGCATTTCTTGGCATTGATCCCATTTTCATCATTGCTTTTCGGCAATTTCGCGGACAATTAAATAAAACGAAACAATTATATAGTAGCAAAACAACGAAAGCGTGGGAATTGCAGTACAAGCAAAAATTGCAGATATACAGTATTTGATCGATACTTTTAATGGTTTTGGTTTATTCAATAAACACATTTTTTATGCGCTAAAAAAATTTAATCCCGATGCTGAAAAATGGGAGCAAAACGAGTTCGAAACTAAAAATATAGTTGGAATATCATTGGGCTTACATTTTTTTAATTCAATGTAAAAAAATAATAAATTAATTTAAATAGTTAATTTATTAATAGAAGCAAAACTTAAAAAAAATTATAAATAGCTAAATAGAATATAAAATAAATATTTTTCTGGACTTTTGGTGTTTTATGATACACAAATTATTTTCATTTTAATGTTTTAGGATTTCACATGACAGAGTTTTTACTGTAAATTCTTTGGCCAAAGCGCATCGAGGAATAAATCAGCTGCGAACAAAAAGAGAATGGAGCAGGCCAAAAAAAATGTCGTAATAGAAAATTTAGAAAAAAAAATATATAAAGAAAATTTTTAACTTTTTTGGAGGGCAACATGAAAGAAAACTAAAGACATAGGAGTTCTAGAATTCTGCAAAAGTTGGGTTAGGAAGCCCACCCATTTTTTTTTGGAAATTTCCATGGAGTAAAATCAATAAGTGGGTTACCTGGACGACGAACTCACCTTGGGATCCTTTTCATAGTAGTGCTGCTGTGTACGAATCCAGCGGCCGACCATGTTGTCCTTGACGGTGTTGGCCAAGGCGAAGTAGTAGTCCCTCAAAGTGGACACATTTCGATCCTTGACCAGGGTGTAGTGCAAGTGCCGATTGAAGTTCTTCTTCACCTCGGTGACATTGCCCACCTCTGCGATTCCGCGCACCGAGATTTGCTTGCGCCGATCGGCGTCCGATTGGGGCTTCGACATGGTGTCCTAGTTATATCCCTCTGATCAGGCCTTCACTACAGTTCTATATAATTCTCTGATTCTGATTCCGTTGCGTGGGTGCGCGTGTGTGCGGCGGAGACGGAGACCCGTTTGCGTGTGCGGCAGCGAAGAGGAGGCGGAGACTATAGACACAACCCAGACCTGAACTGAACAGACGACCGTTCCACAGCGAAATCCGGAGCGATTCTCACTTTATACTTTCGTTATACTTTCCGGAGCTTTTTTCGCAACAGCTTTTACCTCTCGATTCGCGCTCTGGCTCTCTTGTAAACAATTGCCGAGACACAGTGGCTCGTTTTCGCTGCAATTTTTTATTTATGAACTTTAAGAAATTTTAAATATAATACAAAATTTAAAAACTTACAAAAAGTAAAAGTTGTTCTATTTTTAGAAAGATAGCCGGTGCTTAAAAAGTCTCAGAGAGCCTAATCGATTTATCTTACATTCTTATGTACTTAAATAAACTTTATTGACTTTTAATATAAAAAAAATATTGTTTTTAAATAAAGATCAATTTATTTGCAGAGTTTTATGATAAGGCTCCACTGTGCGTGGCTGACACTGTGGTGGCTCTCGCTGCTCCACTGCATTTCTCCATCTCTTTTTCATTTCCTGATGCACTGTGCTTCACTCTCTCTTACTCTCACTCGCTCTCACTTCTTCTCACTCTCTGGGGCTCTCTCTGTGCCCCAGTCACCTTGTGCGAAGGTCATACATGCGTATTGTTGTTTATTTTCTATTTATCTTGGGCATGCTTTTTGTTTTTGCTTAGCATCAGACGTAGAATAGAGTGCGTGGCGCCCTCAGGAACTGGTTGGAGCTTCGAGAAAACTCAACTGTCAAAAGTGGGCTTTGGAGCACTTTGGCGGTCTGTTTTTTGGGGGGTGCCAACTTGTTTAAAATTTGAAAAAAAAAATGTATGTGATAAAAATAAGATATTTGTATATCAATAACATATAACATATGTATCTTCTAGATATTATTGTATTTATAAGACGATTTCGGGGCTATAATATACTTTCTTTTATTTGTGATACATTTTCTTTTTAGCTTGTGAAAAATATAAGCCAGGAAGGTAACTTTGAAATTATTATCAGTATAGCAATCAAAAAGGGCACCGGAAAAAATTTTAAATGCCTTTGATATCATTAAACTCAGATGAACGAGGTCTTGAATCTTTTGCCTGATAAAAAGTATCTCTCAGTTGTTAAGTAATTTAAGTTTTTAAATTAAACTTGCGTTCTCTCTTCTAGCATTTTTAAATTTTTCAAAAGAGATGCTAATTACACGAAGGGCATCTGAAATTCTTTTCCAAAAATTTTGTTATTCCATTTCTTGTTTATTGCTTCCCATAATGGCACTCCCATGTTCAACTACTTGGGAATGCATGCGGAAAAAGTCCTTGAAAGGTGCCAAGGAAAATGGGGGGATATTACAAGGGACCAAGGAGCTGCTTGTTTCTTGTGTTCACCATTTGCTCGGTTATTTCGTTTCAAATGAAAATGATTAGCACATTTTGCTTAAAGAAAGCGAAAGGAAAACCTTTTGGACATTTGCCCAGTGAGCTGCCATCGAAATGCACGCCATCATTCATAAGCTTGTCTGCTAAAAATTTAAAACTTAATTGGAATCTGCTGAATGCCGACAACCGTTCGCTTGTTGACTCCTCGCACATATGCACTATGCAACTAGTTTTTGTTTTGTTTCTCTTTTTTTTCATTCAACTACGAGTATTATGCAAAAGTTACACTTAGGCGGAAAAAAGAGTTCACTGAGCGAATTGAAACAAGGTGGTTTTAAGAAATAATGCTTCCACCATACTTGTAAAACTACATATGCCCAATGTACGTACTCTCTTTTCACACAGCTCTTTTCGTCCTTTCAAAACTTTGGTTCAATAAAAAAAGCAAAAGCCTATATATATAAGTCAATCTTGATACTTTGACATAGGCATAACCTATACTAAGATTAATACAAAAATTATACTGAGCAAAGTAGATAGAGCAATCTAATTAATAATCACAATGCGTCATATACAAATGTACATCTTCTGTAGGTAATAAGTTCAATCTGACTCACATTTAAAGTGATAACAATAAAGAGAGAGAGAGAGAATTAGTCACTTCAAGAATTTTGATAAGCTCATCTCTGCGTTCTTAAAGTATTTCCCATTGCGTTCGAAATCATTGTATTCTGAATCCTCGTCAAGCAATGACCATATATTTTATATTCATCGTGCTGCTTATCAGCTTTTCAAATGGTCAAAGAACCAATCAGGTAAATCTAAAAAAAATATATTAGTAAAGAAATTTTAATTCAGACGGAATATTTGCATATAGAAAAAATGCAGCTCAGCTGACTACAATCCACAAGTAAGTAAGGCAGGCCAATATCCATGGGTGGTTGCTATACTGGACCAGAGAGACTGGATTCATCTCTACATAGGAGTGGGATCTCTGATCGCGAAAAATTTGGTCCTAACTTCCGTTCGCATACTAAATGATACTTCCGAGGCTGATCTGCTGGTGCGCGGTGGCGAATACGATTATTCTACGGACAAAGACCAACACCATGATGATGTTGAAGTAGAAATGATAAGGCGACACGAAGGATTTGATGAAAGAACTGCCACAAACAATATCGCTTTGCTTGTTCTGAAATCCGCTTTTGATGGGAATACCAATGTTGGAACCATATGTTTGCCTCCTCCAACGGGTTTCACGGCATTCGATGGAAGTACCTGCTTTTTTAACGGATGGGGCAAAGCGAAATTTGACTCAGAGGACTATCCCAGCATTCTGAAAAAAACCGATATCACGGTAATATCCAGAGAGGAATGCGTGAGGGCCATAGGAGCTCCAGTGCCTACCCAATTGCTTTGTGGCACCGGCTTGCAGGGCAAGGATTCCGATGGCGACGGTGGAGCTCCTCTGGTTTGTATAATACAGGATCAATTCTATCAGGTTGGCATTGTGAACTGGGGAAAGCAAAATGCCACTGAAACAAAGCCAATCTTCTATACGAAATTGGAAGTGTTTCGGTCCTGGATTGATCAACAAATAGTCATAATAAGACAAACTCTAAAGTAAAGCTCTTACAAAGAATGCGGCAATAAATGATTATTCAAAAAACTATACATATATCTATTTATTTATTTTGAGGCTTTCAAAATTTCAGTGACTGAGAAAATAATCTTGCATCAGATTTGTCTGCCAAATTGCAGTTTATTTGAGGAAGAAATCAGTAAAATTCTGCGAAAAAATATCTTTTCAGTTATTGGCAGCAACTGAGGTTATCATCTGGGTAATTCAGCGAAGCTTTAACTTCGGTCCGGTTTCATGTCTTATCAGTTCAACAATAGCTTTCCATACTTATATAATATAATTATACATATAATGAAAATAAATGTATTTATGTATGCATATGGGTACAAAAAAATTTAATAGTGGAATTTATAGTCGCTTTCTTATGGCGATATTTTTAATAGTAGCTCAACGAATTTTTTTATTGTCAGACATTTTTTTTTTTTGAACATATATATATTATGTTATTTTTTTCTTATTAGCAAAAGCTGAGTTTTAGTACAGTTTCTTTGTTTGTTCTGATTATCTGCTATATTGCAAACAATAATGTTTTCTTTTTTATTGTAAGCGTAGAAATTTAGATATAGTAAAGTACTATTTATTTCTATATACATTTTCACGATTCCACTCGATTTTTTGCCTAAGTGTAAAGTGCAAACAAAAATAATCTCTGCTAAAAAATTCGCATTTGAAAGAGGTAGCAGAAATCTAGAGAGGTGGCGGGGAGTTTGTGGGCGAAACGCCGTTCAAAAGTTAAAGTGTTGCCATTTTTCATTTTTTTGCACGCTACTTGTTTGTTGTTGTTTGCTTGTTTGTTGGCCGCTGCACAAAGACGAATGTGTGTGTGTGTGTGGGTGGTGGGCGGGTGTGTGGGTGTGCGGGAAAAACTACCACAAACAAACGAAACATATGTGAATTTCGTTTGCCGTGTGAAAAAAAGAGCGATTCGAGTGCTTGTTAGAAAGGGATGCCGGATGGATGGGGCACACGTATGTTTGAGTGAGATCCTGAAACTCGTTTTGCCGCTAATTGGATGCTGAAGGTGTCCTCCTCGTGTGCGTGTGTATGTGTGGTTGTGGTCAGGTGTGTGTGCGGCACGGAGTTGAAGTTGCCAAACATCATTAACAAACAGCACCCCGGCACGCCCACTGACTTTCACACTTAAACAAACGTAATTTGTGCCCCCTGATTACTTATCTCAATTACTGGCAATTGCCTTTAATTATTTTATTTTATTGACTTTCCAATTTAAATTGTTTTTTAAATTAAATAAGGATTATACAGGTTATACAGAAAATTTTTACAATTTTCTTTAGATAATATCCCAAAAATATATATTTTTTTAATTCAATTCCTTTTTGCCCATCTCAAAAGCCTTATTTTTTTTGACAAATATTGACATTTGTTTTGATTAATTTTAAAAATATAATACAGAAAAATTACCTTTAAAAAAGGAATATTGTATGGTTTATTCATGACATATGTATGTATGTTTAAGCCAGTAAGTTTTTTCTTTGACTTTTATTGCATTCATTTGTTATGCTGGCCAATAATTAAATTTTTTTCGTGTGCACCTGCTGTTTGCAACCGAAAAAAGAGCTGTCTCAATAATTACATTTTTTGCGATGCTGCTGCTTTTACTGGCACCTCTGATGATGAGATTAAAGTTTTGGCATAATGATGTCTCATTAAATTAAATGGCAACATTTCCAAACAAAACTGATGTAATTTGCCCGTCGTAGTTGCCTGATTAATGTGGCCTGGCACTTGGCAGAAAAGCGGATGGGAAATGGATCTTGGCTGTAAGCTGTTTGGCTTTTTGGATTCCACTTTAATACGCTCCTTTGGGCGGTTTAAATGTTTGCCATAAAATTGTGTATCAATATCAATATTGGACGAGTGCCCAATGATTGCCGGGACCCAGCTTGCCCCTGCAAACACACAAATTGATATTGAATTACAATAAAATCTGCATTTATCAAAAGTTCTCACGCACACACCCTCACTCACCTGTACACACGTACGGCATACACATGCAACAGTTGTGGGCCATTATTTGTATGCGTGGCATTTGGTAACCTTTAACCCTTTTTGTGGCACGGCCATCAGGCAAAATACCAAGATGCAACAACATATATGAATTTTCTAAAAAGAGACTTTTAATGACTTTAAAAAAATGAATAAAGTTTAATCCTTAATCAAAAATAGTCTTCTTTGTGTGGGTTTGTATTTTTTAAATTTGTAAAGCAGTAATTTTATTACTGAATTGAAAATAACTTTTTAGGAGGTTTTGACTCAAATTGACATATCAGAAATAAACTTACTTAAATTAATAATATATTTGTATTAAATAATTTTTTTTCGAAAATGTTATTCTGTATTTTCTTGTAAAATATTATGTGTTAAATAAATAAGTTCAAGGACTCTTCTATTTAATCTAATGTAACGTAGTATTTATCATAATTATTTTCTTTTAAATTATAAAGACTTAAAAAAAATTATATAAACATGATAATATCATTATTAGCGTATACCTATGTATCCGGCCAACTTCAAACAAAGTCGAAGCTACACTTTTAAGGTGTGGGAATAAGACTTCAAGTATGGCCTCCCAAAGGGAGCATTGTGGGGCAAGCGTGGCCATTATGAGCTACTTAGCAACCGATTTGTGCAGCACTTGCCGCACCTCACGCACACATAAGCATTAGTGTGTGTATCTGAGTTAAGAAAAATTTTTCCGGCCAAATTGTCGTGGATTTGAAGGTTTCAGGTTTCGAGTAGAGCATCTTTGGTGGCGTTTGTTGAATTGAAATTGCTTAATTTACCAGATAATTTGGCCAACAAATTGTTTTCTGTCCCACCAGAAAAACACACATTCAGGGAATGTAATTAGCTCGCTTCCTGTTTTTGTTTGCCTTTGCTTTTGTGGCTTTGTTCGAACAATACAAACGCTCCCATGTGGCTATTTGTATGCGATTTATGGAACCAACTTGGTTCCGTCCAACTTGGCACTATTGTTGCGACAACTATTCAATTACCTTCCCCTTTCTCCTCGGCCACTTTCACTCCCTGAACTCGACAAGTGCCCCCAAAGTCAGTGTTTAATTCGGTCCCCTTTTGTCCGGATTGGAGTTTTCTGGTTAACAATGCGTGGCTTTTGATTTTCATCTTTGGGTCAACTCCAAATTGGCTAAGAGAAGAAATTTCCCTAACTGATAATGGACTATATTAGAATTAGAATCAGGGAAAGTCATCGGTTGTTCCAATGCCGATGAATTTAAAGGAATTTATTAAGAATCAAATTAATTTGTGGTTTTTCCTTGGAATTGAAATCATGCATCATAAGTTATCGTTTCACTGACTGTGTTTAATGCCATAAATAAGCAAAAGATTAATTTATTTTAGTGTGCTATAAACAATTAAACAAAAACAAAGTCTTGCTATCAAAATCTAATTAAGAAGAATTTGGCCTTGAGGAATTCACAGTACATATAGAAGTTAGCACACAATTGAAAGTCATCTATTAAGTGACAATAATTGACATTCGAATTGCCATAATTGTCAGAATAATTAAGATAGACTTTAGACAATTTGGCTACGATTCTAGATAATTAACTAATGGGTGGCCCAATTTAAACAGGGGGTTTCGTTTCTTAAAAATGTATGCCAATTGCAGTTTTAACCAGTCATTAAAGTTTTCCCTCACAGCCAAAAATAACAGCCTTAATAATATGCCATAAAATGTGGCACACATTTTCATTTTTAAATTATACAACTTTTGGCCTTTGTTTGCCGCTTAATTTACATATTCTGTTATAAAGTTAGTAGATGCCAGAATAAATTACATTAAATCTATTTTTGCTGTTGCTCATACGCCATTTTTATTGCTTTAGGATGAAAATTATGTGCAAACTCTTCACAACATTGCAATATGTTGTTTCCAAAAATGAAATGTTGCATTTTACTGAATATATTAATATTTGTGCATTTTTTAATGTATATAAACAAGAGTTTATTGACCAAAAAAGAATTTAGAAGAAAAGTTCATGCTGATTTTAAGCAATATTTTCATTTTTGACAATTAGAATTTTATTTGCATATTTTTGTTTGTGAAAAACCGAAAGGCACACCGCAATGCCAACGAAACATTACCAATTCATTTAAGTCAAACAAAAACGCTTAATTTGTCAATTTGCCCTTGTTGATTATTTTATTTTATTGTTATTTTACACTATTTTTATACAAATCCGATTTCATACACTTACAGATGTTTACATACATTTATTTATAATATTTTATAGTTTGTATATGACATTGTTCAGTGGTTTCTCAGTACTTAAATATAAATATAAGAGTATTGGGATTGCGATTATGTAAAAAATATATTTAAAATGCCAAAACTAATTAATAAATATCTAAATTTTAAAATAACTATATCAAATGCTTGATATATCAATAAAATGTTTAAAACTTAATTATAGGGAATCCCCGAGTTCAAACACCAAGCGTTATCTTTATTTCTTTGGATTTTATTTTAATACGATTTATCTTTGTCAAGCAGATAAATCAATTTGATACGGATGTGTGAGTCGAATATGATTTATTGTTATCCTGAATGTTCGCACCCTGTGAATTCTTCAACCTTCTGCTGATGTAGTTATGATTGTCATTGTTTGCTGGTGCTGCACAATCTGGTTTATTATTTGGCAGCTCTTATCAATTGCAAAAATTCACAATGTGCATTCAATTTGCTAAGCGGCTTTAGGTAAACAAAAAACGTAAAAGCAACAAATCAATTTGCATATTATTATGTGATATTATTGTTCTCACTTTGATGAAATCATGCCAGAGGAAAATTGGACTGAGAAATGAGAGATGAAAACACTTGACTGCCCTGGCAATAAATTTAAGTCTGGACTAAAACTCCCAAAAGACTGTCGAATGGCAAACAAAGGAGTTGAATTTATTTGCCCCAGGGCCTTGAATTATTCTCAGATTTATTTACTTAAAGTCACTTTGGGGCCACTCTTTTGACAACTCAACCTTCTAAGCC